TTTTGGTACATTCATCTTCATATATCATTCAGAATTGGATTAAAAACTTCAAAGGGTTAGGAGTGTAGCTCAGAGGTAGAGTGTGCCTAGAATGTACAAGACTCTTGGTTAGATCCCCAGCACCACAAAAAACAAAAACTTGGTGTTTTTTTTTTTTTGGATACTAGGGTGGATTCCAGGGGCACTTTACCATTAAGCTATATCCCCTGTCCTTTAGAGAAAGAACCGGGCTAAACTGCTGAGGGTCTTGCTAAGTTGCTGAGGCGGCTAGTCTCAAACTTGCAATCCCCCTTCCCCAGTCTTCTGAGTCACTTGGGTTCCAAGTATGTGCTACCACGCCCAAACAACAAAAAAATTAAAATGTGTAGAGTTCAGTCACTAAGCTTCTGGTCTAAGATAGTACAGATTTTCTAATCCACACAGGTCTTCCTATAGCTTTTCTGCTTAGTCAAATGCAGATAGCCATGTTTCTTTTTTCACAGGTGTACTAAATTATATCTGTTGTTTGCACTGCATCTCTTTCCTTCCACTCACCAAGCTTTTGGTGTTTTTAGATACAGGCAGTGCATCAAAACTGGCCTCATCTTGCCTGCTGTAGCTTATTTTTAGCTCATTAGTCTTGCTAAGTTGCTGAGGCTGGTCTCAAACTTGCAATCCTTCTGCCTCAGTCTCCTGAGTTGCTTGGATTCCAAGTGTGTGCTACCATGCCCAGTCAAACAAACAAACAAACAAACAAACAAAATTAAAATGTGTAGAGTTCAGTCACTAAACTTTTGGTCTAAGATGGTACAGATTTTCTTATCCACACAGGTCTTCCTATAGTTTTTCTGCTTAGTCAAATGCAGATAGCCATGTCTCTTTTTTCATAATTTGATAATACTTTCATAATACTGAATGCCTTGCCAATCCAGGTAGGTATCCATTCCATTCTCAAAGAATTTGGATGGGGCTGGGCATGATCGCACATACCTCTAGTCCCACTAACTTGGGAGTTTGAGGCAGGAGGATTGCAAGTTCAAGACCAGCCTCAACAGCTTAGGAGGCTTTGAGCAACTTAGCAAGACCCTGTCTCAAAATAAAAAGGTTGGGGATGTAGCTCAATGATAAAGTGCCTCTGTGCTCAACCCCCAGTAACCCCTAAACAACAACAACAACAACAAAAACAAACCAGAATTAGGATGGGAGATGTTAACATGTAACAAGTAACAAAAGAGAAACATTATTTAACAGAAAATTTGAAGTCTTTTATACAAAGAACATGGAGTAGAATATTTTAACTTTCATAGGTTAAATATAGCAAAGGATTGTTGAAGCACAACTTTCTTGAAGTTGTATTGCCTAGGTTTACTCTCTCTTTTCCATTACTAAAGGAATCATCACTTTCTGACAAGATTATCATATAATGACTCCTACTTACCTTGAAGCAATCTCTTTCCCATGCACCATGGTCTGTTTCCCTGCCAGGTTGTATCATTGCTCATTTCATATAAGACTATTGCGTTGACCTTTTAATTCTTATTTATTTTTTTGAGACAGGCTGTCCTCAAACTCTCAGTCTCAAGCAATCCTTTTGCCTCAGCCTCCTGAGAAGCTGTACTACAGGCGTGTGCCACTGCACTTGGCCAAGACAGTCTGTTTAAAAGTTTGTAACTCCGTGCTCAGCCTTCAAGGCTTTCTACACATTGCTACCTACCACCGAGCTATTTAAATCTCATCTTCCACAATTTCTCAAAGACCTCCATTATTCTAGCCAGGAATAAAGAATCTCTCTCAAGTACCACCCACTATACCTTTATAGTTTTTCTAATACGTTGAAATTTACCAATTTTAAATATATGTCCTTTGATTCTAAAAACCCTGAGAGATAAAGATAGATAGGGAGAAGAAAGGGATAAATGTCTCTAACAGATCTTAAGAGAAAAGAGATAAGTGTCTCCAACAGATCTTGAGATGGGGAGGTAGTTAGAGTTAAGGCTCTGTATCAATCTTTATTATACCAGGCTTGGAGAAAGTCCCATTCAACAGAGATTTTGGACAGGAATGACAGTTACAACATCAACTTCAGGTCTATCCTTAGGGCACACATAACTGCACTATATTTGCCAGGTGTGGGAATAGTACTGGTAGTAGCTAAATGAGCTAAAAATAAGCTACAGCAGGCAAGATGAGGCCAGTTTTGGTGCAAAACTGCCTGCATCTCTGAACACCAAAAGCCACAATCCTATTTGACAATACTAAGAAAGTATTGTATTGTTAGTATTTTTTTTAGAAGTGATAATGATATTGAGGTGTTTTATAAGAATTCTTATATTTTAAAGATATATACTGAAATATTTAAAGATTAAATTATGAGCTGTAGCATATAAAAACAAGATCAGCCATGTGCTGATAATTGTTGAAACTGTGGGATGGATGAATGAAAGTTCATTATATTACTTTCTCTATGTATTTGTGTAAAATTTTCCATAGTAAATAATTTTAAAAAGATCATAGTCTCTATAATTTCTGCATCCCCTTTCAGCACATAAAGGTCAGGGCCTATTTCATTTTCATTTGGGAGTTTAAAAAAATCCTTCAATAGCCAACAGTCAGTTTCACATTTTTACTACAAACTGATAACTAGGAAACAGATTTTGGATCACTCTTTAAATCTTGGAAGCAAGTATCCCTGCTGTTTGAAAAGCAAAGTCTTCAAAATCCACCACAGAGTTTAGGATGTAAGTTCTATGAGGGCATGGCCATGTTTGCTTATTTACCATTGATCTCATGATTCATCTAGCACAATGCCTCCCTCTTAAGAAGTGCTTAACAAGTACATATTGATGGACTGAAAAAGAACAAGTCATAGGGGAACAGGGCATCAGTGTCCTGGGAATGTGAAACAAAAAGAACAATCTTACTATTAGCTCCATCCTATAAGAGCTCAGCCGGTGTTGGGGTGAAGGCCAGGATGCTGCAAGAAAGCTCATGCAGGGCACAGAGGAACATTTCTCCTTTCCTTAATATTCCTGTATGTATCCAAGTCCATTGGCTCAGGGAAGAGCTAGTGTTTATATCCAGGTTCTTAAGGTTCCCTGCCCAAGCTGCTCTGAGGGAACTTCCTATGTAGGGCTTGCTTTCTGGTCTACCAGTGCTACTGGAGGCAGAAACTTATCCAGCAGTCATGAAGGGAAACTAGTTACTCTTCTTCTTTTTTTTAATATTTATTTTTTTAGTTCTAGGTAGACACATATCTTTATTTTACATTTATGTGATGCTGAGGATCAAACCCAGTGCCTCATGCATGCTATGTGAGCACTCTACCACTGAGCCATAATCCTAGCCCCTAGTTGCTCTTCTTAATATGCAGTTATTAAATATTTTCCTATCTATTTCTCTGAGGACTCTAGCTGCATTTATTTTTTTAATCAAAAATCTTTCAAGCAGGTGTTATGGCACATGCCTATAATCTGAGTGACTTGGGAAGCTGAGGCAAGATTGCAAGTTTGAGATCAACCTCAGCAATTTAGTGATACCCAGTCTCAAAATAAAAAATAAAAAGGGGCTAGGGATATGGCTTAGTGTTTGAGTGCCCCTGAAGGTTTAATCCCTAGTATAAAGAAACAAACAAAAAACAACTTTGAGATCAGCCAGGTGCAATGGCACACACCTGTAATCCTAGCTACTCAGGAGGCTGAGGCAGAAGGATTGCAAGTTCAGGCTACTTAGTGAGACCCTATCTCAAAAAATAAAAAGACCTGGGTATATAGGAATAAAGGAAGGAAGGGAGGGAGAGAAAGTGGTAGAGCATCCCTGGGTTCAACCTCCAGATCCACCAATCCTTGAAATCCAACTTCAAAAGAAGGTTTTCTGCAGGGCATGGTGGCACATACCTATAATCCCACCTACTTGGGAAGCTGACAGAAAGATTGCAGATTAGAGGCCAGCCTGGGTAATTCAGCGAGACACTCTCTCAAAATTAAAAAAAAAAAGGTGGAATGGGGCTGATGATGTAGTTAAGTGGTAGAGCACACCTGAGTTGAATCAAAAGGAATTTTTTCTCTTTGGAAACCCAAGTACTGTGATGTACCAGATATAGTCTGTGGGAAGTATTTAAGGCCCATAAATGTATTTTCAAAGCAAAATAGAAAAAAAAAAAATACCAAAATTTGTTCGTCTACATTCATGACAGTTCACCCAAAGGAATTTATTCTCTAAAATTGGTGTGAAAATTGCTGTTTTTTTTTTTTTCCTTCTTCTTCTTTCAGAGTATGTCTCTAGCTCTTTGCTAAGAGGGCCTATCTAGAGGATAATTGCCTAGGGGAAGGAAATGTTCTTGGAGACAAACAGCATAAGAACTGGGAAGCTTACGCTGGTAGAAAAAGGGAAGAACAGCCTGAGACTGTACAAAAAGAGCCATCGTGGGTAATTCTAAGTTTTTGTTTTCTGGTTTTGCTTTTGTTTTGCTGTGCTGGGGATTGAACCCAGAGGTGCTCTACCACTGAGGTACATCCTCAGCACAAAATATTTTACATTTTGAGATAGGGTCTCACTGAGTTGTCTAGGCTGGCTTCGAACTTGGGACACTCCTGTCTCAGTCTCCTGAGTAGCTGGGATTATAGGTATGTGCCACTGTGCCTCGTAGGGTAAATTCTGAAAAATTATTTTGCTGTTTTTTTTTCTAACATGGGGCTTCAAAATATAAGCAGGAGACCCTTGGTATGGGCAAAAATAAATAATATACCAAAAACACTATTTCATTTCCAAAACAAAGGTGAGACTCAACTATGTAATTTATATAAACCGATGTCTAACTTTAAGAAGGTTTAAGTTGAGGTGGGGATAGTTTAGTGATGTAGCCCTTGCCTAGCATGTACAAAGCCCTGGGTGTGATCCCAAATACAAGGAAGGAGGGAAGGTAGGAATAAAGGAAGGAAGGGAGGGAGAGAAAGAAAAGAAAGGAAGAAAAGAAAACAAGAAGTGGGGGAAGAAGAAAGAAAGATTATCTCCCTCCTTTTTACCTGTTTTCCATTAAGAAATCCACAACATATTTTTTCAAGCAGTATAGATGGGCATCCACAAGGCCGGTATGGAAGTGTATTCTAGGGTACCTGAAAAAAGAATAGGAAAGAAGATGCTTATAATCAGGTAACAGGGATTCCATTCTATCATCACATAGTAGGCATCTGGAAGTGTTTAAGGCTTAGAGCCATGCTGTCTACCCCCCACGCTGGGGAGACCAGGATGGTGGACACCACCTTTGATCCTACCATTTAAAATCATAATAGTTCTCTATAGAAACACTCCCTCATACTCTTGGAGGCTTTTAGGCTTCAAAAGCAATTTGGCAAGTCTTCAAATCACTGACGATCCACTTTCTATTATGTCACATACTCCTACTCACAATTCTTTTAACTAACATTTTCCTGCCTCTACACTAATTATCCCACTTTCTGAAGGCTACACTTTAGCTATATTTTCTTTTTCCTCCAAGATCAGGCATGTATTATTCTATATTCATAGATGAAGCAGAATTCTATGAAAACTCCTAACTCCTTACTCTCACTCATCCAGCAGAACTCATCCAAGATACATTTCCTCCAGGAAACCTTCACTTAGAATCCTAGTTAGTGCTCCCTCAGTACTCAGTGCCTACCTCTACCAGGTAACTTACCATACAATAATGGAATAGCATATTTACTTCTCTCTCTCACTAGACTGAAATACAGCAGAGATTCATCTTCATAGCCTTAGCATTCAGCATGATTCCTGACAGAATGTCTAATTAAACAATTGTTGAATAAATAAAGAATTGAAAACATTGGATCAAATCAAGGCATCTGGCTAGTTGCTATTTTAGTTTGCCATCTCTGATTTCAGCTTTTAAAAAATGCCAGGTTTGCAATCTCCCAGGTTATCTTAGTATTTAATGAAAACAAATAGCTGGGGAGAAGTGGGAAAAAGTGGAGTGAAAAAAATGGAGAGTCCAGTTATAGCTGTCTGGTTGTCATCTTTCTTCTGTGTTCCTGTCCTCTGACTGGCTTATAGTTTTAAGGAAAATTATTCTCAAAAGATCTAGAAACCCTGAAGTACTTACATAAATTAAGGTGTACCACCAAGGGCTTTTACTCCTTTGGGAAAAGGGGCAAAAATATTTCCAAAAGGGAAACAGAGGAGCCAGAGACTTTGGAATCCCACACACAACACAACACAACTCACAAGCCAATCAATGTACACAATGAGGGTGAAGGAAAGAAAGAAAATCCAACTTTCTGAAAACCCCATTTGCTAAAATTGATTTTAGCAAATGTGAGGGTAGTTGCACTCTTTTGTTCATCTCCTATTTTACAAATTCTTTTAATCATATATTATTATTTAATTCTCACAAATAACTTCTGATATAGATATATTACTCTCATTTTTATTGTTGAGGTCAACTTGAACAGCCAGGGTAAGAATAACTTTAAAAAGTTTGAACAATCACAGTCTTAACTGTTATCAATTATAAATGGCACTAATATTCATATAGCACTTCAACGTTTTTTTGGTACCAGGGATTGAACCTAGGAAGGCTTAACCACTGAGCCACATCCCCAGCTTTTTTTTTTTTTTTTTTTAATTTTCAGACAGGGTCTCACTAAGTTGCTAAGGGCCTTGCTGAGTTGCTATGAGGCTGGTTTTGAACACTTGATCCTCCTGCTTCAGCTTCCTGAATCACTGGGACTACAGGCATGTGTCACTTGCACCTGGCTTAACTGGCATTCTTAAAGAAATAAAAGATTTAACTGGATATAAATTTGGGATATGGTGAAGGAATGGAGATGGGTAATTTGGCGATTTTTCTTTTTTCTTTCATGTTAAATATGTAGTGATTTGGGACTGGGATACTAATGACATTTAAATTGCTAAAAAAAAAAAAAAGGAAGTTTCTTTATTTCATTTATTGTCTTTGAATAATATTAGAAATAAAGATTTATTTTTATTTTTCTTATTTATTTTTGTGGTGCTGGGGATTGAACTCAGAGTCTCATGTAAGCTACATCCCCAGCACCCCCCCACCAAAAATAAAAAAAACCTTACAAGATACACCAGTAAAATCTGGGTAACTGGATTACTCTCAGGATGATGTTTTGGGTATGTATATAATAAGGAATGAAACCAACAAATGGAAATAAGACAGTTAGAAGTAGTTATAATTTTTTATAAAACAAAAACAAAACAATTTTCCAACCATAGGAAAAGTCCCTTGCAATAAAAAACAGTTTATGAAAAATCTGTGGGAATCCTTTCAATGATAAAATGAAAACAAAAGCACAAAGAAATGGTATAAAAAGTTTAAACTTCAAAGTCAGTAAGATCATTGAAAAGCCCCCACAGACAATTTCTCCTCTTCCTTTAACAAAAATAAAATAAAATAAAAATATATGTACAAATAAAAATTTTAAATATTTTAAAAAATATCTATAAGAAAATAAAAAGGAGTTGCTGAAGAAAAGATCTTAGAAAAGCAGAGCAGGACAATGAGCAAAGATACTAGTCTAGGATGCCCAGGACAATTTAAGCCATTAGGAACATAAGGAATACCTCTGTTATTATTACTTATTTATTTTTGGTACTGGGGATTGAACCTAGGGCACTTAACCACTGAGCCACATCTTCATCACTTTTTATTTTTTGAGATAGGTCTTGCTAAGTTGCTTAGTGCTTCACTAAAATGCTAAGGCTGGCCTCTAACTTGCAATCCTCCTGCCTCAGCTTCCTGAGCCACTTGGATTATAGGCGTGTATCACTGCATCCAGTGCCTGAGTTATTTTTATAGACATGTTTTTAAAAGAATAAGTTGCAGATTTTAGAATTTGTATTTGTAAAGTTTAAATTTTTGAGGGAAATAAAATAAGTTTTATAGAACAAAACCAATAGGTCAAATAATTAAAATAACAATTAAAAATTCATTTCTAACCTGGCACAGTGGCACACACCTGTCATCCCAGCTACTCAGGAGGCTGAGGCAGGAGGACCACAAGTCTGAAGTCAGCTGGGGCAACTTAGTGAGACCCTGTCTCCAAATAAAATTTTAAAAAAAGGGCTGGGATATAGAGCACCTTGGGTTCAATCCTCAGTACCATACATACACACATAAATATTTTTTAATTAATTAATTAATTTTAATTAGGTATATATGACAGTAGAATGCATTCTTATTCATTGTACAATTTCTCACTTCTCTTGTTGTGCATGATGTAGCGTCACACCATGTGTGTAGGCATATATGTACCTAGGGTAATTACGTCCATCTCATTCCACCATTTTTCCTGCCCCCATACCCCTCTGCACCTCTCTCTCCACTTTGCTCAATCAAACTTCCTCCATCCCACCCTCCCCACCATTATGGATCAGCATCCACTTATCAGATAAAATATTTGGCCTTTGGTTTTTTGAGATTGGCTTACTTCACTTAGCATGATTATTCTCCAACTCCATCCATTTAACTGCAAATGCCACAATTTTATTCTCTTTTAATGCTGAGTAATATTCCACTGTGTATATGTACCACAGTTTCTTTATCCATTCATCTATTGAAGGGCATTTAAGTAGGTTCCACAGTTTAGCTATTGTGAATTGAGTGCTATGAACATCGATGTGGCTGTGTCACTATAGTATGCTGATTTTAAGTCCTTTGGGTACAGACCAAGGAGTGGGATAGCTAGGTCAAATGGTGGTTCCATTCCAAGTTTTCCAAAGAATCTCCATACTGCCTTCCAGATTGGTTACACCAACTTGCAGTCCCACCAGCAATGTATGATTGTGCCTCTTCCCCCATATCCTCACCAACACTTATCACAAATATTTTTTTTAATATTATTTTAGTTTTGATAGGCCTTTATTTTATTTATTTATATGTGGTGCTGAGAATTGAACCCAGTGCCTCATACATGCCAGGCAAGTGCACTACCAGTGAGCCCCAGTCCCACAAATATTTTTATTAAATATTTATTTTTTAGTTGTAGTTGATCACAACATCTTTGTTTTATTTATTTATGTTTATGTGGTGCTGAGGATCGAACCAAGGGCCTTGCACATGTGAGGTGAGCGCTCTACTGCTGGGCCACAACCCCAGCCCCCTCCCCAAATATTTTTTAACAGTGATATTACTTTAGAATAATACCACTGTTTGTGAAATAAATATTGGGAAGCATCAAACAATAAGCATTTACAATTTCACACAAAGATCAATGGCATTTACCTATTTAATTTTGTAGTATTAAGGATCAAACCTAGAACCTTGTGGAGCATGCCTGTAATCCTAGAGACTTGGGAGGCTGAAGTAGGAGGATTGCAAGTTGGAGGCCAGTTTCAGCAATCTGGTGAGGCCCTAAGCAACTTAGTGAGACCCTTCTCAAAATAACAATTAAAAAGGGCAGGATGTGGCTCAGTGGTAAAGTACCCCTGGGTTTAAGCCTCAGTACCAAAAAAAACAAAAAACAAACAAACAAACAAACAAAAAAACCCCAAAACTTCATGAAAGTTCTTAGCCTATTACATAATGGAATATCTATACCTGCCCTCAGTGCCACACAGAGTCCTGGCTTTGGCAGTCTCATAACCAGCTGTACATGAGCACCCATGTCTGCATACAGCATTTCCAGTGTATAGTGAAGATTTCATTCTGAGCTCAGCTGGGGCCATATTTCTCAGTTGATGTGGTACTTTCCTTTCCTTTCCTGTGAGGCAATCAGCTCCACAATCTCTTTTCCCTCCATGTGTTTCAATGTCTATTGTGAATTTCACCTTATCCAAAATTCTCCTGAGACTCTGTAATCCACCTCCTTTGACTGTGAAAGGTCCATGAAGCTCTAATGCTCTTGCAGTGTGACAATGGGTGAAGTGAAGTAGGTATGTACAGGGCACTGGCTCCACTGGCCCCCCTTTTCTCTATAGAGGCAACTGTCTTATTTCCCACTTCCTTTACTCTTCCCATTTTGTCCTCTAGGTCTTTTGTCTACTCTTTTATTCTGCCTCCTTATATCCTGGGCATTTTTTTTTTCTTTCAGGATCAGCTTGTATCTACTTCCTCCAGGAATCCTTCATTCTCCACTTATTTTTAATTTTT